TCTGTATCTTCTTTGTTCAAACAAAATTATGTTCTTTTGCGCTTATGCAAGTTTCTGCTTTGGATCAAAGTTCTTGGAAACTATTTCCTTGAGTGGCTTACAAATATATAAATGTAAAGCATGTTTAACCTTCCAGTTGATTTGATATCGTGCAGAGTGACTTTTGCCTACAAAGTTAAGCCGAAAGCTTTCTACATCTCCGTTGATCTCTTACTTCATCTTTTACATTTCTTTTAGGTTTACTTTGCTTATGATTGTATTTTCTTCTGTACATAGTACGTATTATATTTTGTCTTTTATTTCCGTTTAATAATTACGTGTCATCATTATTCATATAACTTACAGTTTATATAATAATTATATATCTTATTTTCCGCTATGCAAAATTCAAAATGTAGTATATTCAGTAGTGCCATAACACGGAGCATTGGTACCAACTCAATTATCTTAAAAAAAGATTTCTAGTCTGCAAATAGTCATGAAAGATGTGTTAAATATGGTTTGTTAGGGTTACGCGGAATACCACAAAATATCCTCCATCGTTAATTTCGCCTGATTGGTTACGCAGGATGAGGGGCTTATGAATTTACTGCAGGGACGTGGTGAATTTGGCTTGTTTGCCCCGTAACTATGTACGTATTGTACACTTGCATATGTTATTACAGCCTTCTGATTTCCCTCGTGAACCAATACATTGTATACCACATCGCATTGCACTTCCTCGTTGTACTCATAAATACAAATGACTTCTACGGTACAACTTTCGGAAGAATTTCAAACAAAACAGAAACTATTTGCATACAAATTCGGGTCAAGTTGTTTTGTCTATTAGTGCTAGGGCTGATGGAAGGATTCAGTGTTTTAGTGAGAGATTCATATATCGTACTTTTAACAGATTGCGAAGAGTTGAAATTAGAACTGTAAGCGCAATGTTATCTGAATTGTTGAACTAAATAAAAATATTTACACTGTCGTGTTCAAATCGGAATATTCATCAACCAAATAGCAACCCCTAGAGTTTCTTACTTATTCTTTTCTGGGGAATTTGCTTTACGAATCAAAAGCAATGTTTAATCAATATGACGATTTTAAGTGTAATTAGCTTACTTATGAAATAATATTTACTGTAATTATAATAACTTCAATAGCAGAGTCCGAAATCGTGTGTTTAAAAATTATGTAAATCACTTTTTTTAACTGCCTTTGTGGCCGAACGGCTATCATGCTAGACTGCCACGCAGAGGTCCCAGGTACGAATCCCGAGCCGGGATAAATATTTATATGACCGACATTTATTTATCTCGTGAGTTTGAGTGTAACTTGTGGTTGTGTATTTGTGTGTCCATGGCACCCGTGATACATGGTTTTCCTAGTGCTGAGCTATGAGCTTTATGCGCTTTTACAAAAAAGACTGAATCATTGACTTCATCGTTAAATCGATTTTAGAAAAATATTTAAACGTATTCTTTTCTATTGCTACGATAGTTGAAGCCCTTATCATGGTTTCTTTACGTTGGTACGTTCGCCAGATACCGCATGCCGCGTCTATATCATGCCCTATCGGTGCTGGCTGACGAAGTTGTCGCGCATTTAATGTCATTAGTGTTTGTCATTAGGGGACTAACACATCCCTACATTCTTAATAAGAACGCTTTATGCCAATATTCTAAATCTCCTTTAAAAAAAAAAGTAGTTGGTTTTTGGTTTGTTAGATTTTGAACACTGATAACTAAGTGTTTGTGTTTTATAATTTATTTTATAGAATTTTCCAAACTAACTTTGTAAATAGGATGGATGCTAACAGATTGACGTTACAAACAGAGCTAATGTGGATGGAAATGTGAGAAGAAGTAGACCTTGAAATACGTATTTCGATCATACTGGGGATATTCTTAATAAAGGTCCGGTTAGAAGTACAAGAAATTAACGCGCATGTATGAAGAGATTGAGGCGAGTGGTGGATTAATATCCTCCACTCGCTCCTGTCAAACTTTTGAAGGTTCATGGTCGTAGTCAACCTTAGTCGGAGACAGGTGTGATGTAGGTATGAGTGAGAAGTGTATAAATATCCTGCTGGATATTCAGCCGGATTGAAGGACTTTTTCTAAGTGTTCGCCCTTTCTATTAATAATTATAACAAACTAATGGAGGAATTTCACAAAAAATGATTGAATGTAATAAAACATTGTGATATTCAATAATATTCATATTACAATTACTAAAACTTTCTTCAAAATACTCTACTGTAAAGTAATACAAGAAAAGGGGATTTCAGAGTAAGGTATTATCCACTCTATATAATAATAATAACGCACAAACTCAGCATGCTCCCGCACTAGAGACCCTGAGTCGCGGGTGCCATGGACACACACATAGACAATCACAAAAAAACTCACGAGAGAAATAAATGTAGGCCATACAAATATTTCCCAGCAATTGAACCTGGGACCTCTGCGTGGCAGTCCGGCATGGTAACCGTTCGGCCACCCAGGCAGTATATGTATTACTTGCTTGCAATTAACCTCCAAATACGACCTCTGTTCATGACAAAATACCCTACTACATTCATGTGGTCTCTATTAGCGGATGAAATTCACCGCGCTGTGGCGTTTATCTGTAGCTTCCGTTGTCATGCTGCAAGGTGCTGGAATAATACTTCACCTCCGATTGGGCCAATGCAAACCGGCGGACGGCAAGGTAGAGGACATCAAATTTATCAATGTGTATTTTATGCTATTAGTGTGAGGTCAGACGAGCGTAATTTTGTGAGTTGTGAGGCGCGTAGATTGAGTTGCGTAGTTTGCGCTGCATTCGGTTTCATATAAAACTCACGGGCGTAAAGACAACTGACATTCGGTCGCATCGTGTGACGGGTTGGCGCGGGTGGAAGTTGGAGTGAGGGAAGGGGTCACTTTGGTGTAAACGCTTAAAAAGCAACTGAATAAAATATGTTCGTCTGGCGCTCCAATCGAATTCGGTCGAGCGCAAACAGCGCAACTCAAAAAAACACAACTCATAAAATTACGCTCGTCTGGCCTCACCCTTATTATTGAAATGTAGCATAAATATCAATAGTCTGAGACATGTGAGAAATGCGCCGCGATGCTCCGAGATTGGTCTCAGCCCATTGCTTTTTTTTTTATACCAAGTGACGGGACGAACAAGTCGTGCACCCTGAGACATAACTGACAAGTCCCATGTGCCGTAATTTCACCAGCACCCTTACCCTTCAAAACGGGAACGCAGTCGTGCGCACATTACTGCTTTACGGCGGAAATGGGTAAGGCGGCAGTTCCTGGACGAACTCTTTCACAAGGAGCTCACGGCTACTAAGATTGCAATTTATACCTTATTAAAATTGAAACAGGATAAATTAATGTACTCTGCCTTCCCGTTCGCTGGTTTGCGCTAGCCCTTAGGCTTCTTAATTCTTAGTTCACTTGTAAAAAAAACGTTTGCGGTACTTAATTTTAAGACGCGAAAATTGTGTAAGCTTTTCAAATGATAACCTAATCTCATAAGATTTTGTATCGTAAATTTGAATTTCACTGTAGTCTGAGACAAACGTCCTAGCGTTTATTATATTTTATTTTATTTGCAATTATTCTTGATTAGTATTATGTTTGATTGTAATAATTTATGACGTTCAGGGAGCCATAAAATACAACGTCAAAGTGAGTCGCTATTGAGAAGTTAAGGAGATATTATGTGGATTGTGAGGGTTGGAGGAGGCTACAATGACTAACATGACTTTCTAAACTGAATTCGTAATTTTTTAGTTTTCTACTCTATAATACACTCATACTATGTGCTGTTATGCAAATAAACACTTACTATTGCTTTTGGATACCGTTGTGCCACATTGTGTCACCCTCTGCCGTTTTCAGTCTTTTGTAAATTCGTATGCCACTCACGTGTTTTATTATTATGGGCAATTGAAAACTCGTCACACGAATTGGGTCATTCAATAGCTTTCCCGTCAAAGGATTCAAATTTAAATTTAAACTACATTTTCGATGTAACTTACACAAATAACAATGTATTTTGATTTGGACAGTTTTGTACGTACTAATCGTGTCAATCAAAATTGCCATTAACAATATTCAAAATAAGCTAGTAATAATAAATAGGAGCTATGTACGATACTTGCTCATGTGAGCAAATACTTTTTGTAAAGAGGCCGTATCATATCATGAAATTAAATTAATGGGTACAAAAAGTTTTAATAAAGCACGATGGAATTTAAGATGGTAATTTAAATAACATTCAATACGATAAATAATTCTACAAGTACTTTCCCATTATATCAATAATTTGTAGATAATAATAATAATTGTAACTAGAATTTGGCGACAAGGAACATTATATGTGGTCCCTATAATCCTTTTCCACGACAGGCGTTATCCCAAATCATCTTCATAGGCTCGAAGTAGTAGATTGAAAAAAAAAAATCTTCTATATTACCTTACAAAAAGCTATAATTGTAAATACATGATGCCGAATTGCTAGAAAGTTCATGCGGATGGAAGAAGACGAAATAGGCTCTATCATAACACGCCCTCAATTTGTTTGATTTTGGTCCATTAATGTAGTAAAACCAGCCCACAGGTTGAGAAAAGAAAAAACATAATAATAGTAAAGATATTTATTCATAAGCACAGTTTAAAAAATGTTTGACGACAGACATTGCTGCTCTCTGAGAGACTCTCACTGCAACTGTTATGGGTAGATGTGTTGCTTACCACCAGGCGCACGACTTAATCGTTCCTTTATCTAATTACAGACACATGGGACTTGTCAACTTGTATGTCAGAGTGACTGACCCAGTGGCAGTGCCCCTAAGATCATTGCGATTGAAAGATCTGAGTGGCAGGCACTGTATAACCCCCAGATACACGACTAAATCATCCCTTTTGATACCATAAGAAAAACTAATGGATACAAAATATTTTTCAATTTACGTAGCTGAAGTTTATAAACGTCTTCCCTTTATCGCCGAGATTGCGGCGGTTCTGTGGTTGACTGGACAACGTCCAACGCCCACTGGCGGCGGCGGTGAAGGGATGGAGGCGCCGGAAGTAGTGTAGACTAATCTGTAGAACGAATGAAAACGTCCACTACACTGCAGCGGTTTGAAACGAAATATAGATCATTCAGTTAACGTCAATACTGAGAACTTTTAGCTAACTTGTTTTTGATTTAGCAGACAGTTTTAGATCAATAGATTAGAGGTACGTGACGATGTATACGAGATTTTGGGCAGTGTTTAAAAAATTGATCATTTACGTAGTAAAGTTCTCAGCCAAATTAGGGAGTCAAAGCACGTATTGACACCGATTCGCATTAAGCTGGTCAGAAAAATCTTTATGTCAATTTTTCGCTCTTACTGAATGGACATAAAGATTTGCCGACTGGCTTTAATAAATGAATCCGTTTAATAAATGTGGTGAGTCCCTTAAGGTAATGTGGTTGTATGAAGACTCATTCTAGAAGACGTTAACATTATGATTCTGTTCAAAACGAATCGCTAGATAAAAAAATCATCTAATTGTGGAGCTTTGTTTAAAATTCGCTTAGATTTATCGGGTATCATATTGACAAAATGATTAAAGACGATAATTATGAAATGAATGAATTAATATACAATAGCTTCCGAAAATCCATTCAACTCTTAAAAATTCAGAAACGATTCGATGCTTTAGATTGAAAATTCAAAGTCAATGACAACATGCGAAGGCTGATTCCCAGGAAGAGTCTTCGCCAGTCAGTTGTTTTGACCACTCAGATCTGAAATATAAACTTAATTTTAACTGGAACATTATGTAAGGTATCACGAGGCCACTGGAGTGCATGCCATGCCATGCCATTTTTGGATAAATATTCACTCCTAAACAAAAAATAAATAGGTGGAAACCCAGTCTCAAATGGTCCAACCCAATTATAGTTGACTAATTAATAAATCGACACTTACCTCTTATTCTTCTTATCTTTGGTTACGTAGGCGGGGTGGGTACCTTTATTTAATTCCACGAAGACGGTCGAAAACAACATATTCATAATTCATGAGTCATAATCACTTGACGTGCTTACTCACTGGAATAAATCAATTGAAATAATTAGCTCATCTCGTTAGTCGTGTAATGTTTACACACGTCGTAAGTACTTACACTTGTTTTACATTATTCACTTAAATGTAAGTAATGATAGACTTAAGCCGATATGGGCACATTGTTTACTAGTTCTAAATCTAAGAACCTAACCGTGGCCTAATTAGAAGTTTCCATGTTTTATTTCCTAACATATTAGTATTTTTAAACAGCCACACTAATTACTTGGTCTCAAAGTAGAACATTCTCTGTACTATGATAATCAAAGCAATGAAGTTAATTCCTGGGCACTACCCAGATCGCCTAAATTTAGACTGAGAGAAATATACACGATAGTTTGCAACAAAATGGTGCAAACGAGCAATAAGAACACTCGTTTATTGATTTGAGCTGAATTATTTTCTGTGTTACCTATATATTTAAGAGCCCTTTAATATATCTATAAATGACTGTAAATAGAAAAATTTACAACACAAACCCGACAATAACTGTGTAATGTTTCCTCTAAAACGGACCACCCGATGCGTATGTAATGATAATCGCCTTGGCCGGGTTTCTATTTACGGTCGAATTTTCAGAGCGTTTCGATTATTTTTGCATGTACTGTTTAGGGACAGGGTTGAAAAAAAAACTACGACAAACACGATAGTGCTGTCATTAACTTCATAATAGCGATTTCAAATACTTTGTATTAATGGATTAAACGTTTCCATTGATTATAGAAATTTGATTACACTTTACGTTAAGCTAACCGTAATGGATCTAATGAAAAATGTATATATTTTTTTTATACTTGAAAATTACATCCAAATATAAAATAATTGTGTACTTTAATATTATTTAAAGCAATATTGTAGAAAAAAAAAATTAATGTATGGTGTAACCTACTTTTGCGCTGATTGCCTCATTTTGCAGGCTCAGTACGTTTGTCCGAACAATATATCTATAAAGATAATTAATTGGTCAAGCTATCCATTTTTACGAAAAAACCTGCCTCTTTGAAACATCCAAATCACTTTTTGCTTCTAGCGAGAATGTGGTTTTTAATACTAAGGAATGGGAATTCTTTCATTGTTTCAAAACAACAATAACAAAGGAGCGGAGCTCGAGAGTTGACTTAATCCTTTTACTCCACGTTTCATAAAGTGGTATCGAAATGTCGAGTACGGATAATTGACAAATTTCTGAAGCTAACAGCTTACGATTTTCCTTCATACGAATTTTTTGTAACTTCTACCATCTTGCCTGTATATTATTTTTTTTCGCTTCTGTACTTTAATCTGTCAATTTATAATTTTATAAATTATATCACAGAAGCGCTCTTTTTAGTTTTGAATCAAAATTCTATTGTCTGCGGTACTTGCCACTAAACTGAAAAATTTCATTAGAGTTCTGTACACAGAACTATAAAGAGTCAACAAAAGAACGTCGTGTTTTTGCCAATTAAATTATCAATTAGGACGCTATTCAAACGCTATACCTGCTCCTTCCTGATTGGTTAAATTGACCTACAAGTCTTGCAACCTGCTCATAAGTCGTTATAAAAATAAGATTCTACAAAGAATTACTTCTATTCTATCTCTTTCGTTTTTTGTGTTGTAGCGTTTGTTTAGCTTTCGTCTAATTAAAACATGTGAAGAGGCTGTATGGTGGTACCTTTGCCTATCCTGATAAATGGGTTAAAATTTATTAAAAAAAATACGTTTGTGGTCATTGATTGTTAAAAAAATATACATTCAATATTTGTTCTGTTTTATTATTTTATTTACTCGTAGAAAAAGTATTATATCCAATCATTCCATAATCAGGTCTTAAAATCTCGTACCAATTACTTAGGTACTTACTTAGGTACGGATTTTGCAAATTTTGGATTTTGCGGGTTTTTGTTTTCTTTTTGTTATTAACCGGTAGCTATTCTTCCATAGATAATACAACTCGAACTAAAATGTTGTAAAAGGCAAACTCGCATGCAGTCGTAGTGTGTTACATATAAAATAAATCCTTACAAAAAATACTGTAGAATGAGCATTTATAAAATTAGTCAATTGCAGTTTAGTTGCACATTTTTACTTTTTTTTTCCTATATTCAAGCTTAAGCGAAATACATTCAGATTTTTCGAGGATAAAAACTTTTTGCTTATTCTTGAAGTGCAATTAAATTAATAAATAAATCCATTACTGCGATCAGGTGGTAATGTAATGTAAAAGCCCATGGGCGTGATTTAGGACTGTTTACGAGCAGGTGTGATGAAAATAATTGTATTGCGTAAAACGTACCGAGTTTGCCCCTTTTTTTAAAATTCACGTGGTCAGTATATTTTTTATACGACCGTTATTTAACAGCAAATATCTAAACCCATCGAGCATAATTATATACTCGATGCCTAAACCATTTGATACAGCAAAACAGTAAGGTTTTTACGCTGCTCCTCCGGTAACTCGCCTTACATAATTAAGGTATCGTTCAAATTTGTAGTTTAAATGTGAAATTATATAAGATAATATAGAGTATTTCATATTTTAGTCTAAGGTACCTACATACATAAAGATTTTACATCATTTTTGACAAAGTCAAATCTTTGTTTCATCGTTAGCGACTAAGGCTCAACTCACACTGGCGCAGAGTCGAAGCGTCGCGACGCGCGATGACTCTCGCATCAGTGCGCCCGGATCACAGTGTGGTCGGCGTCTGACGCCTCACTGCGCTCAAAAGCCGCTCGGACTCCATATTTGCATAACACAAATAATGGAAAAATAGAGATGAATATGCAATAGGCGAAAAACATGACGCGTTGCGACGCTTCGACTTTGCGCCAGTGTGAATTGAGCCTTACACTGGAAATAATCACATTAATTAAACTATACTGCTCATTCGCAAGGCAGATTCCCCTGAGAAAAAGAGCAAGAAACTTTTTATCGTTTACAATTGGTAGGTCAATGTTTACAATATTTATTTCAAACATCATAGATCGAGACAACCTGCAAAAGCTAAACGGTTCACTACCACGGATTGTCATCCAAATACACAGAAGTTGTATAAAGAAGAAACAAGTTGTATACCTTTAGTATAAAGATTTTGTCTTATTAAAGTTTTAAACGTTGTGAATAGCAGATATTGAATCTTATCATGGAAGCGTATCCATTGCCCCTTGAATTCGTGATTTTGTGAAGACTACTATTAAGGACAGCTTATTTTTATTCCTCGTATTAATGTCATGTCTCAATAATTGGTAAATCAATGTATGTCGCACTAATTTTTCTTTTTATAAAAAGTATTTTTTTTTTATATTAATGACTGCCTTCGCATTTAGCCAATGGAATGGGTTGCGAATGCAGAATTACAGATTATGGAAGAGGTACGTAATTTAGATGAAAAAGGATGTGGTAGGTTGAGTAGGTGGGTAGTTATTATATATCGGCATACATATTAAGGCTTGATAATATTATTTTTGATAAATGAGGTCAGTACATTATAAACAACTTGGTTACATGAATACAATAAACTTGTTATGGAGGTGGGAAATGTTATACCGATTACCGGGAGTTCGGATATGTAAGTATCGTGGTCAATTGAGGGGCACGAGAAGAAGATAAGATTGTATGTCTCACTATTTCTTATTTAAAAAATACTATTCTTAACGTAATGTGCTGAGCAAACGTCGTGTGCTGTGACGGTAGTGTAAGAATATTAATTTCTATAAACTATCTCTCAGACACTCGGGGGCCCATTTTGTAAATTGCGTTTACGTTTCTGCAGGACATATTAAATTTGTCGTATTTATATCGTTGGCATTACCCGAAAGGTAATGAACCTACGTATAATAAGATCATTTCCCAAAGCAACTACGACTAAATGTCATTGACATTGGCGAAATCATCGATTACTTCGATGGGGCCATAACATTTAAAAGAAGAAGAAGAAGAAGAAGGTGTAATGGTATATCCGTATATGTTCATATGGTTTTTATAGACTTGTACTAACAGACCTACAGAACAAAAGCATCATAGTATTAGTATCTAAAGGTATCCGTTGTTACTAGGTGTAGGCAAAACCGTACCGTAATCGTACGAAAACCTGGGTTAAATAACTAATGGGATATACCTGTGTCGCCCTCAATTTCTATGCTACTGAATAAAAAATTATTTCATGCCAATGCAATGAACTGGGGCGGGAACTCCCGTTTTTTAATTATTTTTTAAACAGGACTTATTTATAGATGTGCAGTAGATAATATGGACGAAACAAATTTTTTATTATTTCTTTCTTCTGGCCGAAAAAAACGAGTATCATTCACCACGTCCCCGAACTTTAAGAAAGAAAAGAACTTACAAAAGAGAGGTTTTTGACATAGTCTGCTTACGCTTTGTACTGGTCATTTAAGTTTTTTCCCGACAATGTGATGAATGTACAAATAAAGATTTATTTAATGATCTTAATAGGAATCGTTATTACGATAGTCGTCATCCTTTATAAATTAAGATATGTAGCGACTTTTAACATTTATTTTTGAAAGTAATAATTTAAACGGGCGGGGTTACCAGAACTTTATATTTAAAAAAACGGTTTAGAATTAATGTTTAAATGACATTAGCTCTTTCATTCATTATCAAATAACCTTCTTTGATATAATATTTACGACTATGGAATACTATGCTAATTTATGTTTTTTTTTCCATAAATTTAAATAGATATATACTTCTGGACACATAATTCGAGCCACCTCGTATTTTTGTCTTAAAGGGCTAGAATACAAAAGTAGTGTTATCGTCGAAGCAAAAGTTTGATCCCGGTTTTGCAAATCCAAATTTCCAACAAGGATTCGTGGAAAAGACCTTTAATATATTAGTTTCAAAATTGCTTATTGTTTTTGATTAATCAAACATTTTTTAAGCTTAGGACATTTAATACTGAAAATGCGAGGTGGCTCGAATTGTGTCCGGAAATGTATATCTACTATACAATATCATTGTTATAAACATATAATGCAAAACGGAAAAAAAACTTTGAGGTGTTCGCTTCAGACTACAATTAAAAAAGCCTTTTAATTGATTATAAAAATAACTAATCGATTCGAAGAGGCTATAGTTGTGCTTGTGTTATTTATTTTATTCATTTTATGCGGAGGGAGGGTGGGAGAATTAACTGCATACAAAAAATATTCAATACAAGCTCAGCTATTTTGCACGATTTAACCTTCACTGGCTTCGTCGTACATTAATTTACTTCCATATTTTATCATAAAAATGTTAGTCAATTACCCATTTACTTCTTATTGACCCATTTATCTGTTAATATTAGATTAGCTGAGTAAAGTGGATTTAAAAACTTTTTAATCTTTAGTAAAAATAATGTTAGTTATTTTTCCCGTTCTCGGATTTAGGAAAGGATTATTTAGAGCAAAACAGTGATAATCAACCCGGCGAATACTTAGAAAAGAATAGGCCGTTTATTGGTGGTCATAGCGTCAAGGCCTCTGGTAAGACAGCAAAAGAGGTAGTTTGTGAATGGGAGTTTTCACTGAAAAACGTATTTTTTATAAAACTCTTGACGTTACTTTGTTGACAAAGTGAACATGAAATGTGAAATGATGTTGACACGATGTGGCCGATTACAAAAAGAAACAAGTCGAAAAAATAATAATATTTAGCCTTTATCATAGATTTAGTATATCCACTAAATCTATGGCCTTTATACAGGGTTTTTTAACCGCCTTAAAAAAAAGGAGGAGGTTCCCAATCCGACTGTTTTTTGTATGTGTGTTACGCGATAACTTGTGAACCGAATTTGATGTATCTTTTTTTGTTGGAATGATGTTACCTCTGATGTGGTCCCATTTAAATTCGAAGAAACTATTCCACCTCTGAGAGTGGCAAATTAGGAGATGAATGAGTTTTGAGGTCGGATTTTTCATGTAAAATATTAACACCCTCACAGGACTCTATTAATAACATCATAAACGACTTTTTCCATGACATTTTAAAAAACAATAAATGTTTAAAGGTCTGGAATGTGTACTTCAAGTAAGTACTTGTGCTTAATTAAACAATAAGGTATTATTTGTCTTCAGAGATTTTATTGAAATCTTTACTTGAGCTCCAATGCATCCATCTCAAATACAAATATTATATAATTTATTAAAATATTTTTCTAACCTTACAACACTATAATATACTCAAGGAACAGAAAAAAATCGAACCGTGAAAATTATTGCAATAGCAAGCAGATAAGGTAACCGGTAACGTGACATTTGAATGAAAACTTTATTTCTAGTTACGTTTAGTCGTAATGTGAATTGGTAACATGTTGTTGGAGCTCGTTGGCTTCCTCGAACGCCGACATACAAACTCCGCAGACATACATTTTGTTTTTGAACGGATGATTCTTTAACGTGTGACGCGCCAGACTGGCTTGATTCGAGAACATTTTATGGCACTCTCCGCATTGTACGCCGCCCGCCGCCTTGTGTTTGTACAGCAAGTGACTATGCAACGCCGCATTCGAATTGAATGTTCGATGGCAAAACAAGCAAGCGTTCGCGCTTGTCGGGTGCACAGTGGCATTGTGATTTGCCAAACCTCGAACGCTCCTAAAAGATCTTCGACAGGAAAAACAGCAATTATCCGTGTTTTCGGGGTGCTTGTAACCAATATGGTTACGCAGAGCCACCTGGGATGTACATTTCTTGCCACATTCCGGACAAAGCGTTTCGGATTTACAACAGCCCAATTTGTGGTTATCTGAAAAAGCTTTTTAAATAAATCATTTGTATCGTAGTTGCTTAACGTATGAAAATAATTTTAGATTGACCATGACACTGACAATCGTAATTTCACATTAATAATGAACCAAAACACCTGATGTCAATTTCAAGAAAAGTAAGCAGCTTACAAACTTACCAAGAACTTCCGGCGTTCCGAAGCTTTTGTAACATGCTGTGCACCGATACTTGAACTTATGCATATACTGCACATGCTTTTGCAAACTCATAGCTGAGGGGTATACCTTGAAGCACTCGTTACATTGCACGGGTTGCTCGTTGGGCGGGTGTATGAGCAGGCAGTGAGTGTTCAATGTTGTCGCAGTTTTGTAAATCTTCCCGCAATGAGGGCAAATGTGTCCATGGTCGCTGCCATCGTCCATACCACTGAGAACGTTTTGAAGTAGCGCGGTAGATGTTAGCAAATGCAAATTCACAGCCTCATTGTGGAGCTCCTTCTCTATATCTATACTCCGCGGTAAGTACGACTCCGGAGACTCCGCCGCGTCATCTATTTCCATCACTTCTTGGACATCCACCTCCACTTTCACCTCTACTGTCTCGCAAGCATTGAAATCCATTCTTAGCTAATAAATTAAATATAAAATAATTAAGATTAGCGAAATTAAGAGTACTGTCAAAATGTATCACAAAAAAGAATGGCGATTAAAAAATAAATTTATTTTACTTGACGTTGAAAAAAAAAATACAAGCAATCTTTTTGGTCTGCCGTATGAACTCTGTAAAGTAACATTAGTGTGGTTATCGAAGCAAAGTTGAAGCCACATGACACGAGCCACTATTTTAAAGGGAAAATCAAGTTGGAAGATGATTTACTTCAAGTTACTTATTACGTTACTACAAAAGTGCATACATATTCTTCTACACAGACAAACGATTGTATACAGAACATTTTTTTTTTTTATTATAAACTTATAAACACTTATAAAAGTGCGCATTTGATCTCTTTCTCACCTGATGGGAAGCGACGATGAAGTCGACGATGGAGAAGGGACACCTAAAAATGTCTATTTATTCTCGCCTTGAAAAGGCCCAATTTATAGCGTTCAAGGAACAAGTATGCAGGCAGGAAATTCCGTTCGCTACGGAGTGGAATCCATATAAATGTGGAAGCAAAACGCTACGTGCGAATCCTTGGAATATCCACAACATAGAGCTGGAATGTAACCAAATGTTAATAAAACAGTGTACAGATACCTACTTAAATATGTGTACATTAGTCTTGACGGTTTTCTACTGTGGCACGCGACGCTGTGGTGTTGGTTTTAGTTTGTATAGTCGTAGTCTTTTAAAGTATCCCACAAGTTGCAGTTATGAGCGACTTAGCGACGAGATAATTGTATGTTAATTCAATACTCTTGCGCGATCTGTCACCATTGTCATTGTGTGAGGACACCATTATCACGTATTTTCCACTAAGCCGCTAGTCGCGGGCGGCTGGCCGTGCACTATTTATTGAAATAAGCTACCATACCCATTGACGCTGCCGCGACTCTGAAATACAACTAGCCGCTACGGCTGCGGTCTCTCGCAACTAGTTGCTTAATGGAAAACGGCACTAAGGCTAATTACACATGGCGTCGCGACGCGCACAGAAAAAAAGGATTTCTACTAATAAGAAAGAGCAATTTCTCAAAATATTTGCTAATTCTGAAAAAATATTTATTAAAAGTAATAAAATATTGTCACTACAAAAATACTGCTTATCTTTTTCTAATACAATTTTACTCTTAACTTTATTCTAACTTTGAGACAAATACGTTCACTTCAAGATTTTATTTCATTTCTAATCAATTAATTGGACATTACTTATATCAAGAAATTTTTACCTCTTACATCAAATTTAAATAATCTTAAATGAATTCAAAATTTCTTGGGTGTATTTTAAGAAAATATATTCTTAAACAAAAAAAGAAGTAGTTTTCTATTCAGATTAATATTCTAAATTCTAGAGTATATTCTTAAAGCAACATTTCGTTGCGTTTTCATAGTCAATCTTGTCGTGACATGTCGCCGAAGGCGCACGCGGTAACGATTACTTTTACTTGTGCTTGTAATCATAAAAATCATAAACAGTCATTTATCCAAAGAAACAATACGTAGTATCTCTAGTTTGTTAGGGTGTTCTTTATAGTTATAATTTAAGAAATTTGGTTACAGCATGAAATCAAACTACACTTGTAACAAGTATAACATGCAATTAGTTCCATCACGCCACTGCTAGATGGCATTAGATGTACTCTGAAACGCGCTATCGTTTTGTTAACTTCAATAGTATAAAGTCATCTCATATATTTGGGATTGTTAATGCTTTCTGCCGCTGTAGCATTTATACGGCACTGGATGGTCCTCAAGTATTTGAGAAGATTCCATATTTCCATCCTATTTCTGCTACTTTAAGGTTTGGCACTGTTGGGTCCATAACCCTGTAAATTTACCCTTTTTGATATTAGAAAACATAAATCTTCAGTCAAATAATTAAGTACCTCTCAATTTTTCATTCTTTTTTTTTTTCAAATCAAAATCGGACATTTCTAATAACAAATAAATATTTTGTTGAATCTAGAGTGGCTTTGTGACTTGAAGTAAATTAATTTGCTCTTGGATTAAATATTTCTGTCTTGTAACGAAAATACACTTTTGAGACGTTTTTTTACTATTATCAAGTAATTATTCTCTAGCGTCTATAGGGAGAAGATCGTTTTGTTGGATTTAATAAATTTGTCTTCATAAAAAGAATTTTGTCTTTTTCTAAGTAATCTGTTTTTACCGTGCGAATGGCGCCGGTTTTTGCCGCTGCAAGAGTTTCGGCGTCGTACCGCAGTACCAGAGTCGGGATAGCAGCTCATGCGGCGTGATCAACTGAATTCGTATATCAGTAAAAGACAATTGTGGCAGCGCTCGCCACTGCCCCCGCGATTTTAATTGAAGCCGCCGCCACAGTGTATGTATGAAAGTGTGTAAGAAAATGCAAGGGCAAAACTACAATAGCGGCGGCGCGATGCCGTCGTTACGGCGCCGTGTGTTATGAGCCCGCGTATAAATTCCATACTACAAGAGTGATGTCACGTGTTGACAGCTGTCACAGTGTGACAATCGCCTGCCTGTAATTATTTTTTTCCATCCTTGCTATAATTCTTGTTATAGCTGTTTTTTTATTGCTTCCGTTAAAGAAAATGCAAAGGTTTAAAATCATACAGCCAAGTGTTAGTGAAATTTTCTTATAATTATAAAGTTGTACACGCAATTTCATATATTTTATCTTGATTTATAAAACGCACCTGTCAAAAATGTACATTCGTTTGCATGTTAGGCCGGCCGCTGTCACAAAGTCACTGTGAACGTTAAACCAGGGGATAAAGAGTACAATAAAATTACGGGTACCCTTATCACTTCGCGTTCACAATTGCATTTGTTCAGACATCACCTTGCTGTATGTAGTAGTAGTAGGTAAATAACTTTCTACCGTTATATGGAGTGTCCGGGGTGCAGTACTGGTGAGGAATACGTCACATATGAGTATGAAATAAATAAATAAAAAAAAAATCTGCTACGGAAATATTGGGCGTTATGTTTATATAATTAGTGGTGCATACATTATTATCCTCGACGTACACAAAAAAAAAAGATTCGCGTTATTAACGATCTCCTTTTTAACGTAAATATAAAGGTTTTCTGCGAGAACTGTATTGTATTTTGGTATACCAAAGAATAGTCATGCTTATTAACAATGTACAAAAAAGATCATATTAATTTTTATATAATTACATCCTTTAATACATTAACTTCAGTCATCAGTATTTATTTATGTTTATTGTTATTATATTTTATTATTTTTGTATTTCGGCGATAAAATGTGGTTCTGATTGTGTGGAATTGTTATAAAAAGTTGTTGTCAAGAATTAAGCAGCTCGGCAAACATATACTTTTAGATATTATGTGTTATTTGTAGACGAACCTATACAGTTTTTTTTCTGTTATTATAGATAGGATTTTAGTCAAAAGTCACGCGCGACTTGCGCGAAGGCGACATAAAACGCGAGATACTGCTATTCTTGTAAAGAGATCTCGAGCTTTATGTCGCTCTCGCGCACGTCGCGTCAGGTCGTGCTAGCGCTACTGGGTTGTCTTAATTAGCCCTTATGATGATTACCTACTTATAAGCAGTAACAGAGCACATACAGTGGATCGTAAAGTCAATTGCACCGAATAAGGTGTACATTCTGTTCCGAAGCTGCGAATTAATAATTTATGAAAAGTGTTTATAAAGTGGTGTATGTGTATGTTGACTATTATTTTTTCGTTGTCAGAATTAGGGCGAGTATACCATTATGAATATAATACAATGTGATAAGTTTAATCTAGCGTGAGATGTTTACAAGGTTACCTAATAAATTTTTATTAAACCCTTAGTTTGGTCGCATCTTTGATACTAACTAATCAAAAATAATGAGAGTTTTGTAGACGCGATCATATAATCAGAAAAGTATGGTAACTCCATACAAGCATACTAACGTGGTTTGTATGAGTGCGCACCCACCGCGGGCCGTATACGGACACGCATTCGCATAATATCGCGATGCACTCGTGTTACATACTAGAGATGGGCAAGCGCCCGGCTTAAACCCGGCGTTTTGTTTGTAACCTGTGTTTAAGTCGGGTCAAAACCCACTGATGCCCAAAATTTAAGGCTCTTTGGGTAAAATCCCAGTTAAAACCGCGGACGTGTTGATTGAGTTTTAACCCACTGCCCATCTCTAGTTGCATAGCGTTGCTCGTCTCACGCGACTTTATTATGCGAATGTGTGCGGTCGTACCCGGCGCACGGCGGGTGTGCATACGTATAAGCCGCGTTGCTGCATATGAATGGACTTACCATACTTGTCTTATTATTTATATTAAAAAGTTTCCACTGTAAAATTTCAATTCGGTGGCAATCGCTAGTTGTGCAATGCGCAACGGGAAGTGAGCGTACCGGTACCTATCTGGAAAATAGAGAGGGTACTGTACATGCACCCGGGGCGGCTCACCCGAAGCACCAGCCTCTCGAAGAACCAGATGAAGTCAAGTGACAGAGGTCTGTGACAACTCTGTACACTGGCTGATCTGGGGTCAGAACCTGAATTTATAAGATATATCCTAAGGGTCGGTAGGGAGGGTCACTATAATCAAAACGAATGTAGAAAGAAGCTGTAACATTTCAATACAGATTGAAGTAGGTAATATAAAAATTTCGTGCGAAATTATTATAAAACACTGTCTAACTCAAATAGCAGACCGCGCAACCTGATAAAACTGTTCGCTAAGGAGTCACCACACTTATTACAGCAGAATCGCATTAAGCCGATCAGAGAAAGCTTTATGTCCATGAATGTAAGAGCGAAAAAGATGTCATCGCAAGTCGTGCCCTGTCATGTTGGCCCTACTGGTTTAGATACAACTAGCGCGACGGCCGCGTTAACTTCGAATC